AGTCTATTATATAATTATGTCATATTTTATTATATTTCATTTAAAAAAATACGGCAACCTGAAATTTAATACATTTAACCTATTTTCTTAATAATTATTACATAATGTCGATCGCTGTTGGTTTAACAAAAACTGTTAGATACCTATATATAAATTCTTTAGCAATAATTAATTTTTTTATTTACATATAACAAATTTACAGTTTTATCAAGATTTATACAAAACTCAATAACAACATTGTATGCAATATCTTAATGTTAATGGTCGATATTCATAGTCGATTAATTTTTTTATATTTCAGTTTTAAGATGTCATAAACCAATAAAGGGAACCGTTTCTTTAGACATTATTTAAGACGACTTTAAAATGATCTAAAAATAAGAATCTACAATGAATACCGGTTAATAAATTATTAAACACAACAAAAATATTTCACGTTCTTAAATGTTCAAAAACTGAACTCTCACTTGGATATGCACAGTCGTAGGAAGTCATTTCTCATTATGGGTGTAATTCCTATTCTCCATAATTTGTCAATTTTCTCTCAACTATTGAAATGTATTATTTAACTGTATTTCTCAAGAAATTTGATGTGGAATAGCTTCAGCGTTTCGAGCATTGTTTTGATTTTCTTCTTTTGCGGCAGTATTGTAGTGCGGAAATGATTTGTACCAGGTATCTGGCCGAAGCACGAGCCCGGGATCACTAAAATCCCAGTGTTCTCCAATAGTTCGAACGCGTAGAAGGCGTCTGGTTCCTGGCCTTTCGCTCGCGCTGCTTCAATCGCCTTTGATGGCAGCTCGAAGCGTGGAAACGCGTACATCGCACCCATCGCCGGATTCGCCTGAAAAGGTAAAGCAAAGACAATGTAAAAACTGTGTCCAGCGCAGTTTTCCTTGGCTATCATATAAAAGGACAGTGACTTTATATCCAGGAATACTATTGAGTGTGTCGACAACGAGCTGTGATCTTTCTGCTAGAGAGCGTAGAGTTTCCGTCTTCTCTTTCTGGAATTGCTCATAAGATGGCTCATTCGGTCGCGGCGGATTCACCACAATATCCGTCACGACCTGACCGAGCACGGTAGGACACAGCATCGCAGAGATCGACTTCAATAGCACCTTCATCACTTCCGGGTCCATGTTGATAATTTCGGAGTAACCGCCACGGATCCCGCACTCACCCACATATCCTGAAAACGAAATACCTCAGCACGGAACGCTTCTGAAATTTCCCTAGAAATCTATTCAGGAATTTAATTTGGTAATCGAAATTCAATAATTTTTCAAATTAAATATTTCTGTTTAATGTTTCAAGTAAATCGATAAATTATTGCAAACATAATTTAAGAATTCAATGTCCCTTGATTAAATTATCTTGAAAGTCTAATATTTAAAATGAATTGTTTTTAGCGATTTCTACCGTTAGATATTTCGATTTCCAAATTCTTTGTTCACGCACCTTTCGAAATGGACATAAATGATGCCAGTTCAATTTTCAAATATGGCTCGCCCATCTCTGTCATGACTTTCTTGAAGGAATGGAATGCGCTGTCTTTGTCGTATATATTGTCCTGATAGACCTCGTCGGCCAGCAAGAACAGGTGATGTTTATGGGCGAAGCGGATGACGTTTTCGATGTTTTTGCGAGTCAATACTTGGCCGGTTGGATTACCGGGATTGATCACCACCAACACGTGAGGATTACACGTATCCTTGACTTCTCTTAATGCTAGTTCCAGCTCGCTGATTTCTAGCGACCACTTGTTATCCTCATCCAGATAGTACCCGATTTGAGCGAGTCCAAACTCCGTCAGGGTCGCCGAGTATAGAGGATATTGCGGAAATGGGATCAGCACGCCGGATGGTTTGTCGTCGAGCCTTTCGTTGAATAGATTCAGGAATGACTGGAAAAGAAAATCATACAAATTAAGATGAAAGAAAATATAGTAGAGTATTAACAGCTGTTATCCTATCAGTCTGTCTACAATATCAAAGTTTAAAATGTCAATTTTAATTTTGTATAACGTGCATTGTATATGTAAAAATGATTGATTTAATATATAAATATACAATTATTCGTATAAAATAACTATTCATACACATTATTATGATAGAAAAAATAAACTAGAACAATAAGATTGAAAAAATTTTCAATTTTATCAATATTATTTACTCAAAATTACTTTCCATTTTGAAATCTGATATTTTAATCTTACATGTCAGAACATTATTTAATAAATATGATGGCACATTATATTCTGAAAATATTCTGAGAATATACATAATAAAAAGGTCACGTCTGATAATTGTATGATGTTCCTATGTCCGCAGCAACATTGTTCGCAGTATATCCTCAGAATGTCGAGATGAATTTCGAAAATTTTCGAAATGTGTAAGAAATATCTGTTAAAAATAATATTCTGTTAGCGATATGTTCAAAATAATCTCATAATATTGAGTATATGAACGAGATGATCAGGACAAATTTCGTATATTATTAATGTTACGTATATCTATGAGAAGTTCTGTATAAATTTAGTATATACGGAAAATATCATGTGCTATCTAGGATATAACTACCCAGTAAACGCAAAGTTACATGCAACATATGTAGGTACTTGTTAGTCGTAATTTTCCTCTCAACAGTATAACTGTAATATAACACTTGTATTATATTGTAGTTAATTATATTATTAATGCCCAATTTCTTCACCTTTAGATAACTTTATCCAAGAGATACCTCTCAGAGTACAATGGAGATATCTCCTGAATAAGGTTATCTGCAACTTATCTGGAAGTGAAGAAATTGAGCCTAAGTGAAAAATGAACAATACGTTACATGTAACGTTGTAATATGTAACTTTGTGTTTATTGGGTAGATTGCTTTCAAACGATTTTCCAAATAATAAGAAGAAGATCTCGAAGTCCACATACTTTGATACCGATAGAAGCGCCGTTCCAGAGAATAATGTTGTGGTAATCGCAAGGGATACCGCCATCGCGTTCCTGAATGTACTGTGCAACATGCTTGCGAATACATTCGATGCCGGCCGACTCCGAGTACGAG